AATAAATTATATTTCATATTTGTTCCAGACTTATATTAAAATTTGTAAAAATATTTATGACTATATATAGACTAAAGTAACCCGGCCTAAGGCCGGGGAAAAGCGGGCTGAAGGCCCACCCAAAAGAGGGTCTGGGGGCGAAGTCCCCAGTAATTTTTTAATTCCCCCCCCCCCTTATGAAAATCCTGGCTACGCCTATGCAGGAGAGGCAAGATTGATATTATTTAAAATTTATTTAAAATTTATTTGAAATTTTTTTATTTAATTTATCTTTATTTCTCGTAAATCACTATATCTTTTTACAACTATATATATATTATTATTTTAATAATATTTACATATATATGAATTTACAATTTGTTTTAAGGTTACTTTAAGAAAAGTTATTTTAACGTTTTACATATACAAATACGATATCTTTTTAAAGGTCGTACAAAATATATTTCACAAAAAGAAAAAGTACGAAAACGTCGTGCGAATAATTTTAACATTCGAAATTTGGTTTGTTGCATCTTCTTATTATCACCCTTGAATTTATCTGAAATTTCGGATTTGTTCTTCACAATTTTGAATCAAACGTTTGACAAGAGCTTTAGAGTAATGGGATTGGGAAAGTATCTTTCTCTTATGACCAGACTAAGATTGAGTTAAAGGGACATTTGGATAAGGAAAATATTAATATTTTTATGCTTTAGAATTTAATTAAAATTTAAAATAGATTATGGGTTAAAAAAAAAATTTTAAAAAGTTAATATTGAATAAAAATTATTAATGATTATATTTAAATATAAATATTCAAAATAGAATATAGTTAAATATGTTAATATTTTTATCGCTAAATATATAGCCAGACGAGGTAAATATATTAATTTCGTAAAACTGAAGAGTTTCGTTTTATGCCAATGAGTTAATAATAAAATCGAAGAATTAGATAGGATCATCTATTATATAACCATGATGTATTTAGAATTACATTATATTATATAGAATTACATTTTGTTATATGTTTTAACCAAAAACAATTTTCCTTTCATATCTTTTTTTAACAATAAAAAAATAACAAATTATGTAAAATAAAAATACAAATTGATATCAAAAAAATGTAATGTTAATATGATATAAAAAAATGTTAATATAATATTTTCACCGAAAGGTATAACAAACAAATCATATTATGAAGAATAACAAACAAAATCAGATTATTTAACAAAAATTATAAGAAAAACTAATCATGACTTGTTTTTAAATAAATTATGTATAACGGTAAAAAAAATTAATGAGAAAAATAAAACTTGTATGTTATCAAAAATAAATAAAAATATAGTTTTTTCATTCTAATTTATACGTTACATTTGCGTTAGGTAGGATTGCTGATAATAGCTCAACTCAAGGAATATTCAGCTGAAGAGTTATTTTTAACTAAGTGAATATATTTAAAATTAAAAAAGGGAACTGAAGTAATAGGGTTAGAGTTATTTAAATTAAAAATAGTTCCAAATTGTATCCATTATCTATCATATCTAATTGGTCATGTAATAAAAAGATTAATATAATTTTTAATAAAACTCTATTGTAACAGAAATTTCCTTTAGTTGGACCTAAACCAATTATTCCATATATCAATGGTAAAATTTTAGAATAGAAATATGAATAAAATACCAATTCGTAACACTGTCTTTGGCAATCTATTTTTTAATTCATACGTATTTTATTATAAATTTTTAAAAATAAGAATATAACAAACTAGGATGCCCCAGACTATTTGGCTAGGATGCCCCAGACTATTTGGCCTGGGAGGAATCAAAAATGTCAAGTAAATCAGAAATTGTGATAAACCACAAATATTAGTTAATAAGAAATAGCGATTAACACAAATCGTAGAAACAGAGTTTAAAAAAATGTAATATTAAGGCTGAGAAAGTATTTAAAAAAATTTATCAGTATTATGTATAGCCATGATATAAATCTCAGTGGCCTTTTATAAGAAATGAAGCAGGAAAAAATGAAAATTATATATATATTTCTACTATTATATAAAATAATAATATATCACGAATAAAAATATATTTGGGGAGCCAATTAGGCTATTATGTAAGGCGAGATCATTAGGAAAAGATATATAATCTTATTTATATAAAAATAGCCTACTTCTCAGTTCATCAGTTATGCAAAATAATCAGCATTTTTAGGCTCGGAGAGAACAATTGGAGAACTTTAAAAAAAAGGTAATATCCTTAAGAGTAGATATAAGATTTTATTTAAATAACAGAAATAGGATACTAACCATCTCCCAATAGCATCATTATGGGAGAGAGGGGTGCAGGGACTTGAGCTCCCTCAAAATTTTGAATTTATTTTATACCAAATGTAATTTTGATAATGTTAGCTTTAAAAATAAGGTAATTTGGAAAATAATTTAAAACATTTTTTCCCTAAAATTGTAAAGGCTAGTGAAGCCCCTATTATGGCCCTTTTGTGAGGTATAAAAAATAATTAAGAGTGAAGCACGAATAGAATGGAATATTACTGAATAGATATAGAAATAGTATTTAAATAATACAGAAAGAGTACTATGTAGTCTTTTTGTAAATGAAAATAATTACAAGTGAATTTATGAATATGGGAGAAGACCAATTGGTAAGACTCAAAAAAAGTACGATCCTTAAGAATGGATATTAAATCTTTTAATAATAAAAATAGATTACCGTTTTTTCCCATTTCATCAGATTTTAGTAAATGGAGAGTGTCGTCATCAGTTATTCGAATATGTTAGTTTGGTTTGCAGATGAGAAAGTTGTTTTCTAACCATAAGTTTTTTTCAAAAAAAGTTGTTATTTAAGCCAATGTACAAAATTTTTTTTTTTTTCAAAACATAAATATTTTTTGAAACACAATTTGTTTTATATAGATAATATTTTTTTATAATAAACAATAATATATTAAAAACAATACCATATAGCATTATTTCGGTGTTGATAGTGCTAATATATTTTTTTAAAAATACTAACTTCCATATATGATTTTTGTAAAAATTATTTATAGAGCCATTTTTTGCAAATATAAAAAAAGATCTTTTGAAATATAAAATATTGATTTCAATGTAAATTTTATGACGATTTAACTGTAATTTCACATTTATTAATTTTATTTATTTATTAATTAACAACAATTATAGCATATAAAAATTACACCAAAAGAAAATGAATTTATTATTCATTAAAATATATGATATGCAACAACCAAAACAGTTTAAAATTATAAATTTCGCTCTTTATATACAACATTTCTCAAATAATTTTACAAATTCAATTATCCTTAATTTTACTATTCAAATTAAATGTGTAAATCATTTAATACGCGTCTTTAACAATTTTATTTTTTTGTTGATTATTCAAATTTTATCGCTACTCATACTCACAACACTTTTATTAAATTTTATCTCATATAAATCGGGCCTAGCATAATTCGTATTTTTTGAGGACCCTACAATTTATCATGAGTTCAACAAGATTCTGATTTCATTAAATCATGGCTCTTGATTATAAATTTAGAACTAATATCTTTTTTAAGAATAAATACAAATAAAAAAATGAACTTAATTAATATATGATTTTATAATATATAAAAAAGTAATTAAAGATAAAAAACCTATTTATGCATTTTCTTAGAGGGGAAGGGGGTGGGGAGGGGGGGGTTGCAATACTATAATTTCCTCCCCATAAATTTTATTGGAGATATTTAAGTCCTCTTATTGCAGGCATTTGATTATATTGGATTTCCATAAAAATAATTTTGGGTTTTCACTTTTTTTTAAAATTAAAATGCTTATTTTAAAATAAATATTGAATTAGGGTCGTTATTTAATAATTAATAATTTTTTTTACTAATTTCCTTCACCTATGATATATGATATATATATTTGGAGGATAGGGTTGAAGGGTGTATAGGAGAAAATTTTTTATTAGCTTAAAATGATATTTATGAGGACAATAGCGATGTATAGATTTTTTATTTATCCCCATATTTTGATCTGCACAATTGTATTTTATATATAAAAATAGTATGTATGAAGAAAATCAATAGAAAAAGCCTATATTTATGATAAAACACAGAAGGCAGAGAATATTAATGATAAAATTTTATATAAAAAACAATATTATAAAGACTATTTTTCTAAAATAATTTATATCTCAATATCTTTTTTACAATATTAATTCTATATATATTATTTTTTATAAATATTTACATATATACAAAAGAAGGATTTTATAAAATTAATATTTATTTTTAGTCAATTTAAGAAAAGAACAATTTAACAAAATTTAAAAAGAGTTAATTTAAAGTTTTTACATATAGAAAAAGAAAAGTACGAAATAACTTTTTTAAAGGTTACATTGTTCACTATATATTTTTTATACATATTTAACAATTTATTTTAATGATTATTACAAAATTAAAATTCAAACTGAGAATTGTGTTGCCCTGATAATAAATAAATATTGAAAAATAATTTTATAGTACCTTTAGCATTCACTGCTTTCTATAAAGGTTAGATCTTTTTTTTTCTGGCAAATTCTAGACAATCCTACGACTGTTGGATTTAAATTTTTATATTTGTTTTTTTATTTTTGTGGGTAATACAGATTCATAATTTTACTCTTCATATTTTCTTATCCATTTAGTAAAAAAATATACCATACGAAATTAATAAAATTTTAGGTAATACATTAGGACTGTCTAAATTTTTTTTATTTTCACAATTTAAAAAAAGAGATAGCCATATTGATAGTACCAAATCATTGCAACGTACCAATTACTATAATTAATTCTACAAATATATAAAGCGCCACGCTTATTTTTTTAAGTTTTTTGTATAATTTTTAAAATTATTTATTATTTAATGATATTAATGCATATATTTAATATATTCCAAAAATTGCATTTATTAGGAGAATAGGAGGAGTTAATATTTAATTTATTAAACTTGACTATCTAGAGGACCTATAAAATGTTATATGATGAATGGCACCAATGGCTCAATCATCATATTAAGCTTACAAATTATAATACTAATTATATTTTATGATGCCTTATCTATTGGATTAACTTTTTTCCAGAAATATTTTATAAAGGTAAAATAAAAAATAACAATTTTTACTCAAAAAATTAATCTAGGATTTTCATTACCCTCTAACCATAGTCATAGGCCATGTTATATTAAAATTTATATATGCATCATTTATTAGAAAAGTGTTGATATACTTTTCTAATAGAGATGCATTTCATTTAGATATGAGTATGTACTGGAAGACTGTTATGCCCACAGGTACAGAAATTTTTTAAAATTGTTAGAAATCAATGTTATAGGAATATCAAGTGGTCTTGATGTTGGACTTTCAAATTGGAGTTTTGAATTTATAACAGTATCATTGTAAAATATATTATCAAAATTTTATGTAATCAAATTATTAGATATACTATGTCTAAGTCATCTTGCATCATATTTATATTTATTTTTTCTATATTTATGCGATTAGATTCATTGGTATCATTAATTTTATATTATAAAAACTATTCATTTAATAATTTATTTAGAAAATAACAAATTTTATAACTGTGCTATTAATTGCAATTGGTCTATTTTTATTCACATATCATTCCACCCAATTTAACTGGAAAGGATTTATTCTTGTTATGATTGCAGCAATGGTAGGTGGAGTTAGATGGTCTCTAGCACAGTTAGTCACCCAACACAAAAAATTTGGTATATAATTATATTTTTAGTTATTTTCCATAATTTATGTATAGCTATCAAAAACCCTTTAGATGTTATATTCTATGTGCAACCTTGGATGCTCACTATATTAATGCCCCTTGCATTTGTTTTTGAAAGTAATATTTAAATTATATTTCACATATAAGGAACTAGACATTTTCTAACACAAATTTTAGTAATGGGCATGTCTTAACTCAAATTATCTTCAAATAATAAGCTAATGTAGTTTTTTAATAAAATATTTTCATTCTTAAAACTAGAATGAAAATATTTTATTATATAATACATAATTTTATGTAATATATAATAAATAATACTTTATTCTTATACTTAAATTGAATTTCAAATAAATCTTTATTCAAAATAATTTGTAAATATTCTAAATTATCTATTAATATAAATTATTTGTTAATATAAAAATATACTTTAATCAAAAATATTTGTAAATATTATAAATTATTATTAAAACTTGTTCCTTGTAAATTTTTTTATTATTTTTCCATGTCTATAAATCACTTGTTAAATTTTAATAATTCATTTATTTATTTTTGAAAATATTTTAAAGAATTTAATTTTCAAATCAAAGAATATTTTTATTATTAATGGCCCAGCCATATGCTGCCTAGGTTCAAATGGTTAGCAGCATCTAATTTTCTAATTTAGGCTTGTTATCTAACCAACGGAGAACCTAGAACAGTTATTCGGACTTTGATTAGACTGTGAAATCATAATAATAATATATGCCTACTTTGAAACTCATATCGATAGTCTGGGGCACTACCCTATACACTCATTTTTACAAAAGGCAGATTATCCAGGCATTATGCTATCATTGCAATCATCAATAGAATCTTGAGTACCACATATATTCCTTCTATGCTTGAGCCCTATGGTCCCTTAAAATCAAACCAGACTTGATGGGATGACTCTAGTACCCTGGAACCAAGGTTCTCTTGTGATTATACTTGTAAGATTGTTTGTGGTTTCAGGGATCTGTGGTTCATTTGAACCCCAAGCTCTAAATTTATTCAAAACAATCGGGCAAAGATGATTTAGTCATGAGAGATTCAAAAGAGGACTTTTACTTGCTATAAAGAATATCGATACACATTTACATTTTCATTAACCCCCACTGACATAATCTAAATATTTATTTTTTACATAGCTTGCTCTTTAACGATTTTTTTTAAAATACGAATAACAATTATTCGATTCCAAAATACGGATAGTGGAAATATTCGATTCTTATTTTTATAGGTATCTTTAGCTAATAAAAAAACAAAATATTATATCATAATATAATAAAGTGCCATAATAAAAAACGAATTATATATATATTAAGGCACATTTATCTAATATAGATTTTTGAGTATATTATTTCAAAATTATTTATATAATTTGCCTAATCGGGTTTTTTTTGGTCTTTGACTGGATGTGTTTTTTGAACGCATTATAAAGGATGGACAGTTTATAGGACTATAATTAAAGGACGTACTTGGGTGGGTTTGGACCAACATTTAGATGCATCCAACAATACTTTTCTCATTCTTTAGTTATACGTACTCCTATTCAAATACGAATCGAATAGCTTATTATTCATATTTATTTTCGTTTAAACATATTGGATAGGATAGTTTAACATTCGTATTTATACGATTAATGAAATGTACTATTTGCATAATATTTGTTGTTTTTCCAGAATTTTTATTATTGCTCATCCAATTTTGAACAGTATTATAATAATCGGATAATAAGGAACATGCTATCAAGTTACTAGCAAAATAAAATGCGCATTAATTAAATTAATGCCAAGTCAATTTTTAAGGCAAAGAGTTTTTTCTTACTGCTTCTTCCAGAATTTGAAAAATAAATTTTTACCTAAAAATCTTTATTTAAAAAAAAAAATTTGTGATTTTATCATAAATGATTTTTACAAATAATATTTAGCATTTTCGGGAAAATTTAATCAAAATTTAAAAAATCAACAAAGATGATAGAATATCATTGGAAATGGCAATTTTTTGGGGGGAATTTGTAGTCCCAATTCCTTTTTAGAGAATGATCGTTTTTTTTATGATTGGAATATAATTATATATTATGAATTAAATAATTAAATAAATATTAAAAAAAGAGGGGGAGGGAATTAATACGAATAATTCGATTTTAATAAAACAATTTAATCAAATAAATAAATTATTTAAATAAGTCGAATTTATCGTTTTATCGAATCGAATAATTCTTTATTCGGATTCGAACAAAACGAATAATTTACTATTCGATTTATTTTTTAATAAACCTAGTTATAAGTAATAAGTCTAAAAATTGACCTAATTGTTAAAATAGTTTACAACCTCAAAACCATGATTTATGATTAAATTTAAAAATTGTGGAAAAAAAAATATTTCCAAACCTGTCCTATTTTGAAAAAAAACTTTTCTGACCCAACCCGAAAATAAAAATTAACCCTAATTTCCAGCCTATGGGTTGGGGTATGTTTTGTGGATCCTTTTTCCATACCTCTAAAAAGAATTTTGATTATAATTTTAGTTTTGGCTGCTAAAAATGAAATGTCAATATTTGTTTTAATCTTTTCAATCCAGTTTCGCAATTTATTTATTTTCAGTTATTATTTAATTTATTTCTTATATTCGTGACAACCAGGAATGTCAGTTGTTTATTTTGCTTAAACGCTAGGGTTTTTTAAAAAATTATGGAGTGCTCTTAAAAAGATTTTTTTTTAAAAAAAATATTAAATTGTTATGGCAACTTTAAATTCATTATAAAATTATCAGTATTTAATAATAATTTTTCGAGGGGGGTGAGTGGTAATATCTTTATTTTAGGTATGCTAAGCAACGCCCCCCCCCCTCCCTCGATTTACCAGCTTCTGACACAAATGATGATACCAATCATGATAAACTATTCAAATCAAGTTTATAATATATGATAATGCCATTAGATTAGAAATGATTTACTAGAAAATATTATAATTATTGAATTACTTACAAAATATAATAATAACTAAAGGAGGGAATACCCAAAATAGTTTTATATAAGATTGTCGTCGATTTGCAACTATTTTTATATTTCGATACGTTACAAAAAAAATCAAACATGGTTTACCTTAACTTTATTGGGCTGTGTCCTAAATATAATTAATAAACTTTCGTAACATTAACGAAAAAAGAAAAATAAGCTCTTTTTAATGTTAAAATTAAATGGCCTAATTTTTCGAATTTACGAAAGTTTATTAATTTTTTAAAGTTCGATAAATTATAAAAATTTTAGCAATTATTAAATATTTAATGATGATAAAAAATGGGCTCTTATATTAATCAAAATGTAAAGTAATTAAATAAAAGGGGAAGTATAAAAATAATTTGGTAGGAATTATTAATTTCATAAATTTACAAAACTTTATAAAAATTTTAATGGGAGATTTTAGACATTTTTATAATTTTATTAAGTTAAGAAAAATTTGATGTTTTTTAAAATATATTTAGGACTTAGCCTTAGTACAACCTCCCCTTTTTAAATATCCAATTGTCAAAACTGAAAAATTTATAACGTAATATGTTTAATTTATCGAAGAAAGTAATAAAAAGTACAACCTCCCTTTTTTAAATATCCAATTGTCAAAACTGAAAAAATTATAACGTAATATGTTTAATTTATCGAAGAAAGCAAAAATATAAAATCACCAAAAAATAATATATGAATTATAAACAATTTTAAATATTAAAAATAAAATATAAATTTATTAATTTGTGAAAATTAAATTTAAAAAACATAAATACAAATGGCATGGGAGTGGGGGGGGGGTTTAACAATATCTTTCTTTCTTTAGGAAGTTATAGGCGTAATTGTTTTTAAGATAAATTCATGGCTTAAATGTAGACTAAGATTTTTTTTTAAATTATGAATACAATGATGTTAAATATACTTACAATTACAAATAATTTTGAATATTTACATTACAATTTTTTTCGGGCCTACTTCTACCATAATAATCTTTTCACTAATATATATATCATAAATTTATAGGAGAATTCTATGGTTCTTTGTTCAATTCGAGCCAGATCGCACCCTTAATCACGTCTCACGTGGCCATTAAAATATTCATAGGAAGTTTGATCGCGTTTGGAATGGAGATCAGCGAATATCTCTTGGTCATGCATACCTCTGGTCTCACCTTGGGCATATCCGGTATCCTTAAGGTTTGTTATTTTTCTAGATTTAATCATATTAAAATATCTATATATTTATTTTTAACGAATTTATATAATTTAGAAATTTTTATTTTAATAGATATTATGGTTTGTTTCATTTATAATAAGATATCATGCCCTTTTTTCATGTTATTTATTTTTTATATATGTATTTTCCTCGTTACTATAAAAGTATGCCTTCCTTAAATTTCACATTAGAAAATTAAACTTCTACCTCGATTTTCTGGGCTTGTGCTTTTTTTTATAAAAACTTATTTGCATGGAAATAACAAGAGGGTCCTCATGATATAATTGATATGTTATTTTAGGAAATATTGACCCTATACCTGGCGGCCAAATATAACGGCGATCAATTTTCGCGGATAAATTTTGGAGGCTTGGTTTTGTGCTTACTAGGCATATCGCTCCACGTCCTTTTCAAATTTATTCAATCGGAGCCCAACGATGGTAAGTAATAAAAAAAAAGAAGTCGATTTTTAACAATTCTTAAATTATATATTAATAATGCTTGTTAAGTATTTTCCTCGTGTAAAAAAAATACTTTAAAATCAATTTTAGTCTTAAAAAAGGGAACATTTTTCCTTTTCATTTCTCTTTTTTAAAAAAATATATAAAAAGCGAGATTTAGATTGCGCATATCTTATTATATTTTTTTGAAATGATAAAATATTTTTGTAAATTTTAAAAAAATAATGTGTAAATGTTCCTAAAAACAGACTAAATAAATGATATTTATTTTAAAATATATATTACATAATTTATATACAGACAGAGCCAATATAAATTTGTATCATATTTCTGCAATAGTAAGAAAAATATTGATAAACCATTAAAAATACCTTTCATACTTTTAATATAAGTATATTATATTCTTTACAACCATTTTTATTTTCAAGGCGAATACGTAAAAACTTCCAAAACCTCTTACCTTCTCTCTAATAAACATCAAGACGTTGCAAAAAAATTCGAAGACCATTACCGTTCCCAGACTAGTCTGTCTCACGTTAGAGACCCACGCGATGAGTCGAAATATAATACGTCAAAAGAGACCAAGAGGAGTTCCTTTTCTAACGGAGTTTGGTAATAAAGAAAAAAAAAGAAATAGTTATAGGAAAGAATGAATCAAAATGAAATTATAATAAATGAAAATACTCATTTAATTTAAAAAAAACATAAATAATACATGCTAGCAAACCCAGATCAACCTCCTCGACCGGTACAGAATATGAAGACCTAATTTCAAGTTCAGAATCATTAATCAAGGACTTGCAAAATAATAATGTATCAGAATCAAATTCATTATATCTTCACGGTTCCGGTGACGCTTTATGCCTAATTCCAGATTTGGATCATAATAACAGCTTTAATAGGTCTCTTTCCCCGAAACTATTATGATTCTTTTTTATTGTTCGAATCGTCAGATATCTTTAAACTAAATGTCTTTATCATTTTATTTTCCCTTCTTTTTTTTGAAATTTTGAATCCCCGTTCGTAATTAATTACTTATTAACATCTCATATTTAAATGTTAGAGAATATTAAAAAATAGACTAAACACAAAGCTTTAAATAATTTTATTTAATGGTTTAATATTATTAATATTTATTTAGAATTTATAAATATATATATATCAGAGTATCTAATGGTTTATTAGATTTTATTTATTTCATATTTATTTTTGTCAAAGTTAATTGGTGATTTATTTATATATAATAAATATAAATATCGTTCGTTATACAGAAAAAAAATTATTAACAAATTTATAATTTTCCTTATTATAATTTATTAAAAAAAATTAAAATAAGTCTTAGATATACTACAAATGCACTTATCATAATGTCGACTTTGAATATTTATTTCAACCACGGATTATATTTCTGCTGTGATTCTTCTTAAACAAATTATTTATATATAATTTAATATCCTAATTTGTTTTTTTGAAAAAAATATGGTATTACAGAGAGATTTATACATTAAATAAACATTATTTCAGAATTAAATCCAAATCAGTGACATTATCTCCCTTTATTTCGAAATCTCTCCTCACTAGGACTGGGTCGGGCCGATTTTAAGAAACAGTCTTTTCAGTTCCAAACCATTTTATAAAAAATTAATTTTATAAGATATTTATTTCATTGCAATTTAAAAAAAAAAAATTATGACCACCTTCTCCTTATCTTGATTCAAGTTATTTGCTCTGCTATTTAAAATGTTAGATCGACCAAAACTTAATCTCCAACTTCATAAAGTGTCTACTTTAATGGTGATGGGTTGGAGAAAATTTTTGACAGTTGTACTTAAAAAGGTAAAACAAAAATGTGCAATTTTTAAAAGAACCAAAAAGCAAAAATTAAATAAATATTAGAGCAGTTATTTTTTATAAAAAGAGGCCCAATAAAATTCCTATTATAATTAAAATATCAAAATTATTAAAAAATGTCAAAACAAAATATTTAACTGATTTTACTTGGTTCCTTCTAGGTCTAAAGGAGATTTTTCAAGACTTTAAAAAAAATTGTTCCGATCTTTAACATCTACTACGTCCACTATTGTAAAATGTAATATGGTATGAATGACATATTTTTAATGACTACTTTACATTATAAAATATTATATTTTTAAATATATGTAGTATTTAAACTTAAATTTATTTTATGAAAATTTTATAAAAAAAAATATACTCTTTTCATATATCTTCATTTGCAATTATATATTAAATTAACCTAAATCAGATTTGAACCAAGGACAAAAAAAAATTTCCATCAAATAGTATATTGAAATCAAAAAAATCATTTAAATCAAAACGTTCGATAAAACAAAATAATCATCATTTCATTATACTCTGTTTATGAGGCCTTTTAGCGTTAATGACGGTTTTAATTCTTTTGGCCACATTGTAAGTAAGGAGTAAGCACCGTTTTTTAAATTACAATCTTACATTTTATTACGTTTTTATTTATTAAGTTCAATAAAATTATTTATTTTTAATACACAAATAACTTTACGTTAATTGAATGAGATGATTAAAAAAGGTTATTTTTAAAACTCTTAAATTCTAAAAAAAAGAATTTTGAAATATTTGATAGCGATTATAGTCGAGCGAAAAAGCAGTTTTTAAATTAAAATTATTTACTTCAATTATATTTTTAATTGATCATAATTATCTAGTAATTGCATTTTAAAAGTAATTGTGAAAATGAGCTTAAAGTGCAATTTATAATGAATTGGAATATAGTATTTTAACCGGATTCTTTTTAGAAATTGATAAATATTACATCTTTTTAAATGAAGATATTTTATTATTGTTTTAGCAATAAATCGTAGAAATGTTGAGTGGGTTATATAACAGAGCAGTTTTTGTTTTAAGATAGATTGGAAGATTTTATAAATTGAAAGAAGACAGAAGGGAGTAATATTAAGTTTATATGGAATAACATGTCTGGAAATTTCACGTGAGAATACTTAATCTTTCAATTTTAAATTATTTATTTACTTTGACTCAGAATCACAAAATTAATATTTAAAAAATTTTTTTTAAATATTTTGCATTTATGAATATATAAAAAAATGAAAAGTGATTTCTATTTATTTTAAATCGTAATAATTTTTATTTTTTAGTATTTAAAAATATTTATATTCTTTTACTTTTTAAATCATTCAAATAAAAACTAAATATAAATACAAAAAAGGGGTAATTATGTATAAACGTCATTGATTTAAAAATTGTTTTTATTAAAATATTGGAAAAGTAATTTTATCGTTATATACAAAAAAATTCGGGTATTATAGTGGACTAATCGGTGAGTGAGTATTATCATTAATTAGGTAGAGAGGTACAGTTTCATCCGGTGGAAAATTTTAAGTGATAGAAACGGTAAATATTTTATTTTAATCATATTTATTTATAGATTCTATGTACATTATATCTCAATATTGATAGTAATTATAACTTACACTAAAGAAATTAAGCTTAAAATCAGCCATCACCCACCTTTAAAGTAATTAAATTATACTGTAGTTCTCGGGTATAGGCTTTTTCTTTGTCCCACTCCTTTTAAATTAAAGCCTATAGAGGTTTAAGCAACATTTTTCGAAATGTTGTGCCTACAAGTACGTGCGGCTTGCCCACAAACGTGTGGAGGGCTCCTCATATTTTTACTTTTATACCCAAATTAAATTGTTCCAATTAGATGGAAATGAGGAAAACCTAGCGTAGCTTTGTTGAATCTTCAACGCTAGAGGGCAAAAGCGCTATATATCACGTATCACGTAATTAGGTAGTTTTGAGTTCGTATCCAGCAAGGATCAGGTTATTTCCGTTAGTATATATTAAAATAAAAAATGGGTCAAATTGGCCGTTTAGCAAATTTGATCGTTATTTAGCAAACTGATGCATAATATGACCACCATAATTATATATCATTACAGGAAAAGTATTTGTAAAATTTTAAATATAAGTTTCCGATATACTACCCGGCTCCTGCCTGACTATTAGAAATAAGTTAATCATAAAAAGTGACGATTGTAGCTTCCTCTTTTTTTTTAAAAAAAATACCATTTTACAAATATTAAATTTGTTAAAACTAAATAAGTTAACTTGTTATTTATGGGCATTAGCTTTATATAATATTCAATATTTATATAGTTTAGGATACCATTACACTATATTGAAAAAAAGATTTAAAATTCCTTGACATTCAAAAAAAAAAAAACTAACGAGATTTTATTTGAATTTTTTTAGAGATCTTTATCATGGTGAATTCAAAAAAAAATATATAAATATTTATGAGTCTAAAAAAAGAGAATGAAAAGCTAGCTCTGGAGAAATAACGTTATCAATAGAGGAATTGGCACGCAACTATATATTTTTTGGGATAAAACATTGAATAATTTAATGTTTTTTTTAACTATAAACTACAATCACAATATAGTAATATATAAATTTATGAGATTAGACATTTACTCTAGAATAATAATTTCAGTAATGTATAGGCAATAGATTAAAATTTAAAAAAAATTTAGAAAAATTTAATTTAGATTGCATTATATAAAACTTATAACAAAATTGTCCTATTCTAATTTAGATTGGTCAATCCTTTCAATTAATCCTTCCTCTGGGTCGTAGAAAGATCTTTTTTGATCCGGAAATATTAATTTCGTAAATGGGTCTATTGGTGGGGTAGGGGGGAGGGTAAGGACTGTCTGTGTTTATATATAAAAGGGTTAGAATTCTTTCTTTTTTAAAAAAAATTTAAAAATGATATTTGATTAGATTTGATATTCACTTCAAGTTTAGAATTTTTATTTACAAGTTTGAAAATAACATGGTAAAATTCTAAATAAAGATTTTATTATTAAAGAATGGGGGCTATCAATGTTATCAAATTTTATTTATTCTTCCTCTTCAGGCTATATATTTATTATATATAGCATTTTCCCTCATAATGTATCATTTCGAACTTAATACATATTATTTTATTAAACTTCATAGTGTTACTATGGCATAGCAACACCCCAGATATTTTAAAATTGATAATACAATAAAAAAACTGGATATTTTCAGTATCATCCTATTTTTTGGAGACAAAATAGTCAATTTTATTTCTTAGATCTTGTCCTATTTCATCTTATTTCTAAACAGGAGTCTTTTTAGCCGGCTATATAGCTTTCGGAAAAGAAAGCGACCTTTAGATTTAAATATAGGGTAAATTTGTGGGAAAAATATATAAATAACAAATAATATTTAATGTACATACTGATAGGACAAGCAAAATTAGGGTATTCTAGTTAAAAATCTGTTTAACCTTGCGTTCACAGTTAGCACGAATACGCGGCTAATATATGATATAAACATAACATTTATTTTTGTATATTTCAACGTGAATTCGCGATAATTGTGAATTAATGGTAACCTATAAGTTTCAAATAAGACGAACCAGGACACGGCCTTATAAAACTCAATATCATTTGTTAATAAATTTATATTAAATATTTAAATATTAAAATAAAAATTTTGATTATTGCAGTAGATTTTTCTAGCAAAAACATAGTGTTTAAAACAATTTTACTATATTTCCAACATTTTTTTTTTACAAAAATTCTCATAAAATGCTTATTTAGTATTAAATCATCAAAATTTTTATATTTTATTAATTTGAGTGAGATATAACAGTTTCAGGATAGAGGAATAGGACTGCCCACCCATTCGCGTTTATACTCCCCCCCCCCCACCTCCTACCATAATTAAAATATGTTTAAAATAATACTTTAATAGGGTTTAAAAAATTATACTATTTAAGTTTGAAATGTGAAATGATACTTTTACAAGTTTCGAAGTGATATTTTACGAGACATTCCAATTACTAGTGTTGTTTGGGCTCGTTTTGAGCCTATTTTTAAAAACGGCTAGCTCAATATTTTAGCCAGAAAAATATTGCCTAAGCCTCAATATTTCGATAATATATGTTTAGACCTTTGTTCCTTCTATGAGCAAAATCTTCAGGGAAGGGTAATATTTTTCTGGATGAGGTAGTGAGTTGGCCGTTTTTAAAAATCGGCTCAAAACGAGCCGTTTAACAACACTACCAATTCCTTTGTAAATTATGACAGATAAGATTTTTTTTTTGAAAAAATTAGCTGTACTAACTAATAACTAAAATAATATGTGTACATTACATAACTGGCTGATCAATCATATTTTTAAGAAAAAAACCTTTTATGATTTTAACAAGTCTTGTATCCTTAACTTATTTGTTTTAAAAAAAAATAGTTTTGCGTGACGATAATATAAGAGCTCATATGACAAATTGGATGA